TGTCAGTTAAGTGGATGAGTTAGGCATACACTACTAATGTCAAGTGCAATATGCCAAGAGTGTTCAAAGGCCTTGATCACTTTTACCATAGCCATTGCATCCTGTCCACATGCTCTGTATACTTGTGCTCATGATGTTAAAATAAAACAAGGATGATAGTCCTATCACCAACAAGTTGTATGACTTTAGCAAAGTCAGTTAAGTTTGGTATTCTCCATAGTTTTTTTTTTTCCATAAATTGGGAATTAGCTTCTCTTCTTACTTCGAAAAGTAATTGGTGAGACATGACAATTGAAACAGGAGAGTTTTATAATCTTATGCACTCTATTTAAAATAGCAGTTCTATCCAGCCTTTTATAAATCTTTCTTCCTTGTTTACTCTAAAGGTTTTTTTAATTCTTAAGTGTACCTCCTTAGTGTTATCTCTGCCTGCATGTGCTCACTCAATGGTTATTAAGAAGGTGAATAGGGACTGGCAGGTGGTGTGGTGGTTAAGGGTATTGGGCTCCCACACGACAGACCATGGTTCGGATCCCAGACCTGGTGGCTTGCTTTCTCACTCTCTCTCTCTCACTCTGTTCCTCTCTGTTCAAATTTAAATAAAGAAATAAATACAGTTAAATAAAATAATTTTAAAAATAAGGTGGAGCAATTTTACATGGCTAGTAGAGCTAATTACCTTTAGTCTTTAAGTGTGCATTGAAAATCTACTAAGTGTCAACTTCACTGAGAGGTGTGGAGAATATAATGATGAATAGCATATAACCTGATCTTGGTTAGCTCCTATCTATTAAAGAAGCCCTGGCAAGTGGCCTATAGATCAAAAGACAGTAAGTCTTTGAAGGGGTTTATTTTATCTTCCTTCAGAAAGAGAATCAAACTATTTTAAAATATGTATTATGGAGCTAGCTCCATGGTCTAGTGGTTAAGAGAACCAGATACCACATGGTCAGTTGTGGTTTGAATCCCATCCCTAGTAACTTGAAAACACATACTGGCTCATATGCATTCATACCCCAAATCCTGCCAGGATGGAGAAGTGGAGGAGAAGGGGTTGCAGCATGACCACGCTCCATGAGTTATTGCTTTTGTGCTTTCCCTCTCTGGTGAGCACATGCTCCCTCTGGCTAAAAAAGAAGAAAGAAATCAAAACAGAAAGAAAAGAAAAGAATATTATGAAACAATACCCAGTAGAATTCAGGCCTGGTATTAGTATAATTTAATTAATTTCTTTACATATAAAAGTTATGGTTCTTGGCTAAGAGACATGTTGTCAGTATAAGAAAACTACAGTATCTAAAAAAAGGCTCACTTGGATATTTGGGACACAGGTTTGATAAATTAAATAGTCTGCATTGAAGGTAACTAGAATCAGTACAAATCTGACGAGATTAGCTATCTACACCAGTCAGTTGTGGCCACAGAAGCTTGTACCCGCTGTCAGGGTAGGGAGGATATTTCACATGTGATTTATCAAGAGGCCAGGTGTTCTCAAACTCAATCAAGATGGCTAGAATCATCCTGGAAATCATTACTGTATTTCAACTGATAGGAAGAAAACTATCATCTTCACAATCATAGTGAGAAGTTTGAGGCAAATTGTAACATAATGGAAAGATGATGATTTATATAAAATATAGAAAGAAAAAATAAGATTTTTTTGTGCCTTTTGATAGTAGTCCTGGTATTCATAAACACCATGTTCAATAGTGACATGGTAGCCAGTCTAGAAGTTTTTTAATGTGAAACAATTAGTGAACATAAATATTCTTGGACACTTCATGCATATTTCAGTGTAAACTATTGGGTTCTCAGAAATGTCATGACACATTTTTGCATAGAAAAATGTAGCAAAATACATCATGACTTCTCCAACAACTTAATAATAAATGTACTGGATGATCTTTGTATATTACTATTTTGTAGCTTTAAAGAACTATTTTTATATCCTGACTGAATTTGGGCTACATTATTGACGTACCTGAATGCTCATTTCTGGAGAGCAGAGATAAATATGTGCCTTAGAAATGGAAATCGAATTAGCAATACATCGAAACACTTTCCACAGTGACTAGCACATGGGCAATACTCAATGAATGGTAACTATTATCAAGAATATAACTGTAGCCTGGGTGATCCCCAGAAACATTTTCAATCGTGGGCGACTCTTCATCAGGTACATAACCAGGCCAATAAACATGTGTGTATGTGTGTGTGTGCCTGTGTGCATGTAGCATCATACAAATAAACAAGTATCTGTGACATCATGCTAATAAATAAGTCTTTGTTTAGGAATTGTGCCATTGACAATTATTTTCAAATTAACGTATAAACAATATTGCTTGGCGAAATAAATAATTTGGTCTGTGCTGTTCTGTAAGCCCCAGAGCCCTTCAGTGTTTTCGAGGGGATAGGGACACAATAACATCTAAACTCTCCTTTAGTTACTGCTCAGCAACCGTTCTGGATAACTGATCAAAGATAATAAAAATATTGGCTTATACTCTCATGCTCAGAGTTTCTAACCTGAATCTTTTACTGAAAACTAGACTTTAATGAATGTTGACCAAAATATTTGTTTATTGATTTCTTCCTCAAGCAAGCGACAAAGAAAAAGAGATAGAGAAATAGAAATGTATAGAGAGATACCCCCATTAGAATCTTCACACTACCATCCACTCCCTGCTCCAGCTAGCACTGGATCATAGGTACTACATGCCTGCTGCATTCAAGAAAGTCTACAGATGTGAATCAAGGAAGTTCCCATGTGAGTCAGCCTTGTAGTTCATTGCATAACTGTTATGCCACTATCTGGTCCCAACCAAAAAAAAAAAATTTCGGTGAGTTAAGGTACAATTTATCATTTATAAGGCATTTATTGATTGTCAATTAGTTTGGACCTTTTATATCCTAGCCATGTGGGTAATGAATTAACTGTAGAACACAGTCATTAAGAAATGCCAAAGAACTCTAAGTAAGAGTATAGCTTTAGGGTAAGCTTACAGCAAGTTGGCTTGCCCATTACCCAGCTCTATGATCTTGAGCAAGATAAATTACTTAATGCAAAATGAGGATTATAACAGGCGCTCCCTCATAGAGTAAAGAAAAACAGTAAGAAGAGTGACAGAAAGTGTCAGGAGAAGAGATAATAGTGGAATTTGAAATATGGTAGCTTTTTGGAGCAGATGAATGAAGTTCTGAAAGAGAATGAAGGATGTAGAAGAGATGTCTCATGAAAGAAAGTATGAGAGACAGAGAAAATACAAGAGCTCTGAAGAGAAAACATGCTTTGACAGAGAAATATAGTGAGAAATCCAAGATGAATTCAGAAAGAGCACAGAGTATGTGAAGCAATGGTATTAATAGTGACTTTGAATGAGGAAGGCAATAAAGGGTGTTGAGAGTTAAATTGTCTCTTAAAGAGATATGTTCAGATCCTCAGTACCTGTGACTAGAACCCAATACTCAGTACCTTATTTTTTGGAAATAGGGTCCTTGTAGACATACTTGTTTAGATGAGTTAGTACCAAATGAGGGTGAACCCTAATCCAATGACAACTGTCCTCATAAGAGCAAAATTTGGACACAGACACCCAGAGAAGTGACACCTTGAAAAGAGAGGGGCACAGACTAGAAAGATGTAAGTACAATCTGAGGAATGCCAAGGATTGCCAGCCAGAGGCAAGGAAGGATCTTCCCTTAGAGCCTTCACGGAGAACATGATGTTGATACCTTTATTTTTAGACTGTAAGACAATATATTTCTATTTTTTAACTCATTTGATTTGTGGCACTTATTATAACTCCTCTAGGAAACTAATACAGAGTTTAGAGCCAATGAGCTTATTCTGACAGCTGGATTGAGAATGGACCACAGAGGAAAATGCTTGAAGCAGTAAAGTCAGGTAGGAGGCATTACCAAAAATTAAGCAAAAGATCAGATCATACTGCCTTAGAGCAGAGGAGTGGTAATTGCAACAGGGAAAAATCATTGGATTTTGAATATCATTAGGAGACAGAATGAATAGTTTTCTAAGGGATTCGATGTAGGAGGTGAAAATAAGAGAAGTATCCAAGAAGACTCTAAGCCTAGAAGAACCTAATTTATTTAACTGAGACCAAGATTATAATTTGGGGCTCAGTTGGTGGCATAGTGGATAAGGTAGCTGGATCTCACATGACCAAATGCATGGTTTGAGTTATGGATGGATCCAGTAGCTTGAGAAACATGTCAAATATGTGTGCAAACATGCCCAAAATCCTGAAAGGAGAATGGAAGAGATGGGATTGTGGTATGGCTAGTCCCCCTGGGGGTTGCTTTTCACTTTCTCTCTCTTTTGTCTCAGTGATTACACACACTTTATAACAATTTTTTTTTTAAAAAAAAGTATAGTTCTGGTCATTAATTAGAGATGCAAGTGGGAATGTAGTGTAGGTAATTGAAAATATGTCTCAAGAGATCAGAAAAGTGGTTTAGGTTAGAGGCATGCCTTCGTCTCTTTGGACTGTTGTAACAAAACACCTTAAACTGGGTGACCACCAACCACAGAAATTTCTTTTCATGGTTCTGAAGGTTTGAAATTCCAAGATCAAGGCACCAGCCAACTCTGCCTGGTGATGACTCCACTTCTTAGCCCATGGAAACATCCTTTTCACTGTGTTCTCATATGGTAGAAGAAGTAAGGGCTCTCTGGGACACTTCTACATAACAGCCCTAAACATATTCATGAGATCTCCACTCTCATGACTTAACCATCTCTGAAAAGTCCCACTTCCAAATGTTTTAACATTGGTGATAGGATTTCAACACATGATTTTTTTTTCTTTTTCTTTTTTCAGCTCAGAACATTTTTAATAATGCACATTAAAAAATTCATCTTACAAATTATCTTGCACTCCATATATGCAATAGCTTGGAAAAAAATGTTTAGAAAATAAAAGCCAATGTAAAAAGACAGATGAAAACAACTAGAACAGTACATGTTTTACATGGCTTGGATGTTACAGTTTTCGTACCACATCATCAATTTCAGAAATCTGTTCCCTCAGCTGACTCCATTGCTCTGGATTTAAAGAAATACCTTTTCTTCCTGGTTTCATTTCACCTTCTGGATCCATCCAATATTCTCTAATATCAATTAGAATGTTCCCTTTAAAGTCCCAAACACTGACATAGCTCATTTTCCCAGTCTGAAACATGTTATCATCTCTGCTGCTGGTGCTCTGTTTGGAAGAGGACAGAGCTCTAGAAGTTTCACCAGTCTTTTGCTTCTTTCCAAATTTCTCTGGAGCAACTTGCTTGTTGCTCTTCAACTTCATGTTAACTTCATTTTCAGAATCATTGCCTGAAGAGCTTGATGAAATAAGTTCTTTTGATTCAGGCATCGCTCCACCCCTGCTATACAACAGCCTCCTGCTCGTTTGCTCTCAGCCGAACACATGAACTTTGAGGGGACACAAACATTCATCCCACAGAAAGGTACAGATTGGGGAATCATCAACATGTAGCTGGTAAAGGATGCCATAAGACTATAAATTCGTTAACTAGAGGAATGACTGAAGAAAAAGAGAATAGTATTTATAAATTACTGCTTATCCACATTTCTTTCTTAATGTAACTACAAACTTAAGAGTTGCAGATAAGTTTGATTGCCCGGAACCCTCATCCCTGAATTTCCACATAGTTGGTTTTCTTTCATCTCATATACTTTTAGACTGATTTCTATTTCCTTAAAGATATCTTATCAACAAACTTATCTAAAATAGGTTGTTTCCTCTTTCAAGCATGTTATTTTCCACCCAGAAGACTTTTCTTTTGTGATACTTTTCCCCATAGGCAATATTTTATTTATTTATTTATTTTTCTGTTTTTGTTTTTGCCATAGGGCATGTGTGAATACCAGAGAAAGACAGAGAGAAAAGGAAGTGAGATATCATACTTCCCACTGGGTGGCTAGGCCACAATCTCTTCCCTATTCTCTTCCTGGGATTTTGGGCATGCATGCACACAAGGATACGATTTTCTAGTCACAGGTATGGGAATCAAACAGTGATTGGTCATATGAGAATCCAGCACCTTAACCAACATGCCACTTGCTGGCCTTTATTTCACTGTTTTAAAAATGTATTGTTTGTCTTCTCTAGGTTTAATTGAAGTATTGAAGATTGGGCATTTCTCCTTTATTCTAAGCACAGTGTTTGGTATCCTATTGGCACTCAACAAATACGTGTTGAAAGTAAGACTAAACCTAAATGTGCAGATAAGGAAACTGAATTAATTAATAGCATAGCCTAGAGTTTTTGATTCTAAAAAGTAAAGTTCTCTAAGTTATTATGCCAGATGATAGTTGTTCTGGTTACCTATTATTGCATCACAAATTATAAAGTCTTATTGGTTTAAAATAAAATTTTGTTATTTAAAAACATTATTTCTCTCAGTGAGAGAGAAAGAGAGATCACTCCTAACAAGGTCTTATTCCCACGATCCACCCTCAGCCTTCCGTAAGTCATAGGTCAAGGTCAAGCATGTATACTTGGAGAGGTTCTGGTCTTGAACAAGGAACTATGAACTCTCCCATGTAGAGTTGCCTCACAGAGTGTTTCGTTATACCACTGCATCATCTTCTAATCCTCACATTTTATTATTACATATCATGATTTGTGCGTTTTTCTAGGTTCTGATTGTCACAGTTCATGTGGACTCTCATGTATTTGTATTTAGATGGTAGCCAGGACTGGAGTCCACTGAATACTTGCCTGGGCTAGATATCTAAAATGGCTTCTTCACTCACATGTCTAGTATCTGGGCTGGGATGGCTAGAACAGTTCAGGTGAACCTTTCTCTCTTTTCCTGTGGCCTCTCACAAGGATCTCTTGAACTTTTTAACACAGAAGGCTATCCATGGCATATGTCCTCCCTCACAAGTGTTCCAAAGGGGAACCCAGTAGAAGCTGTAAAATTTTCTACACACTAGTCTCAGAAGTCATAGAGCATTACTTCCACTGTACTGTATTGGTCAGTCACAGGTGAAGCACAGAGTCAGCCTGGGGAGGGATCTGTGCATGAATTTCATTACCTGGAGGCATGGTTCATCTTCACAGATGAGCCGAGTTCTTACTGAGAGTCTGAAAAAGTCATCTTTTCCTTTCTTGCTCTTTTACTTCCATCCAAATCAAATACATATATATTTCAGGTCAGACAGTCTTCATTTCTCTTGTTTCAGAAAAGCTAGTAACACTTCCAGGTAAAGAAAACATGGAACTCAAGAACTAGAATCTTAGAGCTCCTAGAGCTAGAAGACCAGAGCTGGTTTAGACCAATTCTATGCCTTTTAGATAGTCAAGAAAAAAACCCCGATAGAAGAAATACAGAAAATTGAGTTATATGTTCACATTGGCTTTCATTATAAAGCTACAGAGGTATTTACTTGGAAAATACTTGATCATTTAACTGAATAAAATCATTATGGAGAATGCAGAAGCATAAAATGTGTGTATGTCTGTGCATGTGTCTGCATATATAGAAAAGATTACTTCTTACTAAGCATAAACACTAGTATAAAACTTGTGATATTTAAAGAATCAGCTCTCTAAATAAACCTCACTTATTTTGCTAATTGTAGCAATCTTTCTAGGTTTAGAAATGTGATGATTTTTCACGAATTTTAAACTAACTTCAACCTAACTTTGCATTTTACTTTGTCATTTTAATCTTTGTAAAACTTTCCATACCTTTGGAGCCCTCTAGCCTCTTTCTTGGTGGCTTTACTTAATATAATCTTGATGCTGATCACAGGATTCCCTGATAGAAGAAGATAATATCACAAAAAGCCAGTGACCAGAATGTTCCCATCTGCTTAGCAATGACAGTCCCATCACAAGTTGACCAAAGAACACAATCCATGGAAACTATCTATTATAAAACAAACAAACAAAAACCAAACAAACAAAAAAACTCAAAACAACCATGCATGGATTTCAAATTGTTTTTGCACCAAAATAAACTCATACTTTAATTTTATTTTCCACAAATATTTTGAAGTGCCCTCATGTAAAGGATACTGAAATATTCCATTGCCTGACAAGGGTAAGGTACATTTGTAGGTTATTACTCAGACTTATCATCTCAAACTAAATATATTACATAGATTATAAGCAAATATCCACTGTCATTAGAATTTTAAGATAGAATCCACGAATGTGTTGATAATTTCTATATCTTAGCTGATTTCCATTTTAACTGAACATACATAGAGTAGAAAATCCTACTAATGGAGTGGCAAAAGCTGATGCGTCTCTTTTTTTCTATGAAGACAATTCTGGTGGATTGGCTCCAGGATGCAGCAATAATGCATGACTCAAGTGAAGCCAGAACCCACATGACAACTGCAATGTGGATCCTCAGCCTGGATCCAGGTATACAAACCTAGGCATGCAAACACAAGTGCCCAAGATCCAACAGGATGAGCTGGAGGAAGGGGATTGTGGCACAACCTGACCCTGTGGAAATGATTCATCTCTCTCTTTCTCTCACATACATGTACTCTCAATAAATAAAGAAAAAGAAAGAGAATTCTGGTTTGGTTGGGGGTGACAAAGTGCCTAAATAAAAACACTGCATCTCCCAGTCTTTCATATTATTAGAGTGGGCCATGTGACACAGTTAAGGCAAATATTTTAGTAGAAATACTTTCCTGAGTTTTTTGCTTTTCCTTTTCTTTTTTTTCCCCTTCCTCTTTATTTCTGCCTGGAATGTAGTAGGGAAGTGGAAACACACCAGCCATCTTGCAACCATGAGGCACATCTGGACTTTTTACAACAGAATCAAGTAAATCACTGATTTTTCTTTAAGCCACCTAATAGTTATGTTTCTAATATTGAAACTTGTATATATTTCTCATCTATAAAGATGGCAGAGCAACAGAGATAAGCACATGTATAACTTGAGTTTTACTCTAGGCAAATGAAATCTCTTTCAAAAGAGGATTAAGGGAGCAGTGTAATGGTTATGTCACTGGACTCTCTTGTAGTCAACCACAGTTTGATGCCAAAACTCAGCTTAAAACTCACCCAGGGCACATGTGCATGTGTGCTCAAAATCCCAGAAGGAGAATGGAGGAAAAGGGACTGTGTGGCATGGTCATCCCCTATCCCCTCTGGGGGGATGATTTCTCATTTTCTGTCTCTCTGGCAAGTGCATGTTCCCTCCCCACAAAACCTTTTAAAAAAAAAAAAAAAAGGTTAAATGAAGTAACACACTTACTCTAATGTAGTCTGCCATCACACCCACTCTAGTTACTGCAATAGTCTATACCTTGAATCTCTGCTTCCAGTCTTTGGTTCTTAGAATCCATTCTCCACACAACAAATAAAACTACCTTTTAAAGATGAATCATGTCATTTACACCTCTACTTAAAGTCCCAGTGTTTTTCTACCACTATGAGCAAAAAACCTGCAATATCCGTACAAGGTCTGTGAGGCCTATCTTAGGATGCTCTGTCCCTCCCTGATCTGACTCCACTTGTCTCCCTGACCTCATCTCATATAAAAACCTGTGCAGAAGGCTGAGCAGGCTGTACATGGCAAATTGCCAGGGCCTGCCACCCACGTTAATTTGGAGGAAATAGAAAAAGTCATCCTTTGCTGACTTCAAATCTCACTGAAGCTAAGATTTATTGTTTATGTTTCTTTTGGGCACACACACACACAAAAGATAACTGGTCACTGCCTATCTCTATGAAGTGGTTTATATTAATATAGTCATCTTCTAGATATATTATTTTATTTATATTTCATGTGGCTCCAAACGCTGGGGTGAAATGTTAAAATTAGCTTAAAAATGTATAAATGATCTAACTGAAAAAGATAAAGCAGCAGATGGTTCTCCCTTTTGCAGTAGGTATAGTCTACCTAACGTAAATGGCACATAGACTTCATACTTTGTAAGGAGGTTGCTTTTGCCATCCAAGAGTCTAATTTAATTATTTAATGAAACCGCTTTAATCTTTGAGAAAAATAGTTTGAAATTGCTCTAGCCTTTATGTTTCTGTAGTTAATACAGCCAGCATCGACTGAAACAATCCTCTCTTTGGCAGCACAATGAGAGTTGAAACAAACATCTGTTTCCTGCCCAATTGACTCTACAGAAACCAGGTAGTTTCTGTGATTTGCCAGTCAGGCATCCTAATCCAAATTTGTTGAAACTATTTGCATTTTGCAACTGTTCTTTCTTACGCAGATTTTTCATGGCAAGATAAATCCATGTCAAGCAAAGGAAAGGTTATTTCACAGTTTCTCTCCAATTGCAAAACAAATTTCTAAAAATCTAAACTCCCAGGACCAAAATTTCTGTTTCTTATAGTCAAACACACCAAGCTGGGAGGAA